ATTTTCAATGAAAGATCTCACGCGATATTTACAGAGATACTTCTGTCACTATCATTGGTTGAGAAAACGATGATAGAGATTTTCTTCAAAATCTCATCGAATTTTTTGTCATGACAGAACGTGACAGTATTGTTTTCATCGTAATTACAAGGTCATTTACTGCTATTTAAGTTACTTGTACCGAGGCAATCCTAACAATATATTCACTCTACCGATTACATACGGTTGTTTGCTTAAATTCATCTAAATCAGTTAGAAATGTTGATGTCAAAACCGCATAAGAATAATTCTCATGAGTGCTTGATCATTGAAGAATGAAGAATGACAAGAAAGCTAATGATAGGAAGTTTCGTCTCATGATAGTGAGAGGACCTGTTTTCTCATCGTCACATGACGGCCGTGATATTTACCAGCTCTGGTTGGGAGTCCCCCGTCAACTTCACCACCAGGACTCAGTTAATGACAGGTGTCAATATGACAGATGCCAGCCGAGGGAAAAAGATGATCGATATCATCATCATTATATTTCGATAGCAAAATTCTCACTTTGTTATGATTGCATCGATTTTCAATCATTACCACGTTATACGCCACAGAAACGCTTGAGAAAACAAGCACACGTCCAAGCTGGGCTTGTAATATGGTTTGCTTTCGAGTGAACGAGTTTCCAATATCACCACCGGTATCAGTAATGTGCATTGTCTACAATAGCAGATACGTCTCTTCGAAAAAGTAATCGAAAAATGATGATTTGTGGAATCATTGCTAAACGAACCTAATAAAATATGCCGTCTTCCTTGGCCAGCGCTGCACGCATTCTATTAAAAAAATACGTTGGAATAATCATTACTTTCCTATTTTATAAAGAAGATATTTGCCAACGCCAGCAAAATCGGAAACTGAATCTGCCAAAGCTGAGTGAAGACGATGAGTGATGATACCGCTTCGTGTTTTGATTTGCGCTGTACTCTCCGCTCAGTGGTGTGGGTTCGTACATGCATAGATGTGGGTGAGCGTGTTTTCTTCCAACGCTGCAGTTCAACGTTGAATCGTCACAAACCTATTGGTGCTGTTATCTGTCTCTATAAATTCCAAACAGTGAAAGGGGTCTGCTTATAGTAAAATTGCAACATTGCTTGATAATAGTGTGTTTTGTGAAACTTAAAATCGTCATTAACGTAACCATCGGGGCTGGTTTTGAATGGTTGCAATAAAAACGCTATCGTTATGTGATATGAGGTGCTTGGTGGCCTTAGAGCGACCATTATTGCTTACTGAGTAGAACATCATGAGCTTAATCTCAAGCCCCTCCACATTTAAGATTCGTTAATCGCTTTATTTGTTAATGTGAACATAAAGGAGCTCGTTTGCCTAGTGGCAAACGTTTTTGCTTACTGAGCAGATTTTTTTTTTAAATCTTTATTAAGGAGACTTTCAGCCCTGGGCTACTGAGCAGATTATCGTGGGTTCAATACCAAGCTTCTTCCCGTTATATGATCGTTATGACATAAATTCAGCTTATCGTTTACCAAAACGAACCCTGCTGCAATCCCAACCCTTTTACCCAATATCCCAGTGATTCCTCGTGGAACTGCAGAGATGTTCTCGGCTTCCATCAAAGCGAGTGTCACGTCACCACATTCCTACCCATTCCTTTCGTGACCTGTGTTCGGGCGCGGCCGGCGCTGGTATTTCCTAGTTTGAGATCACCAGTTTTTACACATTGAGGATGATTGCTAGTCCCAAGCATCGTCTATTGGTTCTCTGTGTAATTACAGCTGATCTGGCTGTAACGGAGTAGCAACCGTGGGCGGTCAATCATGCTCATGTTATTTTTGGTTTAGTTAGAGGGAACTAAATTTTGTGAACATTCCCAAATTACAACTCTTAAAAGGAGCGCATAGATTTGAGTTGGGTGGAGGCACACAAATTAAGAATTAGTTTAATGAGAGGGAGAAGGATTAGTATTTTCCATTTAATTCCACTACTTTATTTGCTTATCCTTGACAGATACGCGTATTTCGTCTACAATGTGCAGACTTCTTTAGTGTCTTGTACTAATACTCGAGTATTAGTACAAGACACTGAAGAAGTCTGCACATTGTAGACGAATTACGCGTATCTGTCAAGGATAAGCAAATAAAGTAGTGGAATTAAATGGAAAATACTAATCCTTCTCTCTCTCATTATACAGGTATTCCACTAAGACGCCCACATTCATCAGGAAGAATTAGTTAGTAACCAACTCTAATTTTTATCATGACAGCAATTCAAAGTAGTGTGAATGTCAGCCAAGGCAAAAATCTAGCAGCTCGTTGTGTACTGGAGAACAATGTTCAACGCCACGCGTTGAAAGCACTGCTGCTGCTCCTGATCCCGACGACCAGACACCACCACACACGGTGATTGGAACTGAATCCGATCAGCAGTTGAGAGTAGCCTTGATAGCTGGCTGCTTGCGGGGAGCCTTTCGTTGTGTACTGGAGAACACCACCACTCACCACTCGGTGATTGAATAAACACCGTTTGGTGAGATCGGATAGGATTCAACTTTGAAATCTGTGTTAGGGAAATCGCTTTTAGTGGGCAATCGGTGATAATTTTAACTATCATAGTAACAATTGCACATTCATGCGATTTTCAATAGTGACATTTTTCAAAATGATAAAATCTTAAGTTAAATCGTTAAACATATGCGTAGAAATATTTCTGATCGATTGGTGATAAAATCATTGAAATTGGTCCAGGGGCAGCTGAGTTATTAACGTTCAAAATCTTTCATTATTTCGTTACATGCTCCATTTTCGGTTTTCACAAAGTGTATCCCCATATAGAAATCACAGACGTAGTCCTACGTCAAAATAAATATACGATATTCAGAAAACTCGTCCTCCATTAATAGAAACACTGTTCCAGTAGTAGTGGTAAATGCTAGCTTTGGTTTTTATAATAGTGGAACGCATTGGTTTCTTACGGATTCCACTATTATAGGAACACTACCACAACTATAGGTGCAAAGGAGTGAAACGCTATGACTCACATTGCACAGTGGTCCAGAATGCAGATTTAGGTGGAATGATATGTTTTGAGCCTGAAACTGAAACTTTAGACTAAAAGTCTCTTCTACAAAGTTATTCCTTATATTTAGGCCCTCATTTTTATGACAATGAATTCTAGGGTGGTTCCTATTATCATTAAAATCAAAAATCTAACTTTTTTGTTTGAATAAATTAAGGTATACATTCTTCGACAAAGCAACAAAGCTGAGCAAATTTCAAGCAAATTTGTTGAAGTTAATTTTTTTGTATCTCTTAAATTGGACGATTTAGAGCTATTTTCTTGAATTGAGTTAGGGTGGCTCTTGAAAAAACTTTTTTTTTTTCTTGTTTTCTTATTTCAAATTTCTCAGGAAAGGTGTCTTGAGATAACTTTTAGATCTTAAGAAGGCGCAAGTTTTTGCTGCACAAAGCTCGTCAATATCTTTCGCCGATCAAGAATTATTGACGTTTTTATACTAAAAATATGCACTTTACAAATGTTAATATCTCTGGTTGGGGCAAACAAAAAAAAAGTTTTTTTTACGGCATTTGAAAGGGCGTATATTATTCTCAATAATATGACAAAATTGGAGGTATGTTTTTTTTTAAACTCGTATAAAATCAATTTGAATTTAGTCAAACTTTTTACTATATTTGGGTATATCTTTTTTATTAGAAGAGATACAGGCAACAAATACAGGTATAAAACATTTGTCTAAAAGAGTTTTAAAATTCTCTACAAGACAACTTTTATGAGAAATTTCAAATAAAAAAGTTATTGCTAAAAAACTATTGTATTTGTATACCTTAATTTATTCAAACAAAAAAGTTAGATTTTTGATTTTAATGATGATAGGAACCACCCTAGAATTCATTGTCATAAAAATGAGGGCCTAACTATAAGGAACAACTTTGTAGAAGAGACTTTTAGTCTAAAGTTTCAATTTCAGGCTCAAAACATATCATTCCACCTAAATCTGCATTCTGGACCACTGTGCATTGTCCATCCCATAAAGACTCAACCAAGATCCATCGAACTTACAGGTTATACGTATTGTACAATTTGTGGGCAAAAGCAGCGTGGGCAGGAGGAAATCAGAAAATCCCGTGAATGCCAATTTAACGGGACAAAATTCGACTAGTGCTTTGGTATTCTATTGGAATACATTGAAAACGAGACCCATATGTACTATGGCTGATGGACGGTTAAAATTGATCACATTGCAAAAACACACAAGCGGACTATAAATTATTTAAATTATGCATTGCGCAAAACTGTCAAAATGACCGCTTGTGTTTTTTTGCAATGTGATCAACCTTAACCTTCCATCAGCCTTGGACTCAACATCACTTTGCTGTCAGCAAAACAAACATCCAACCAACAGCCATAAATCCTGCAAGCATTCCAATTCCACCTGTCCAATCGACCACCTACTGCTCGCGTTCCCTTCATCGGTTGCTCCTGTTGCAAAATTTCTCTTCAGTTCCCATTATCACCACCATCCCGGTAGATGGGTGCGAAGAAGACGAAGCACCTGAAAAATTATTGAAATCCCTGTTGGCTTTGCTACACCTTCCCACCTAGCTGGGAGCATGCCGATACACAGTCCTACAACTTCCACTCCTGGAAAATTTATTGCTCTCAACAAACAGTCATTGATGAATGAAACACATTTATCGGCATTGTTTCACCATTTGCAGCAAATCGAATGAAATGGTTGGAAACACGGCAAACAATTGCACTTTGTGCCAAACCACAATTCGAAAACAATCGATTGTATTTGCACAACAGAATAAATTGACAGACCAGTAAATGGGTTATTTGATGGCCACCGAAACCACACACAATTGGTTCGGTAGGACTTGACATACTTTTCATCATTTCACGTGCACTGAAATGTGGCTGGCCAGGATATTAAATACTTTTTCCGATTTGTTCTATCTCTTTTCTGCTTCATGCAGGCCATGCGAGCGGAATATGCGAGACTGCGAGCTGATATCCTGTCGGCTGCGGCGAGTGGAACCACTCTGTCGGCTACCCGGTTCGGCCCTGCAGCAGCTGGCCATGTGTGGCTTCTACGAGGATCTGGAAAAGGGAGTCACATGTAAATATTACCTCCTGAAAATTTAACCTTCATTAAAATGTTTTGAAATAATTTAATTTTCTTTCTCGTTCTCGTAGTGTTCCGGGCCGGCGAACAGGGTCGCTATTGGTACGCGGTGCTCGGAGGTCAGCTCGAGGTTCGTTACCACGGGGCAGAAACTAAGGATAGCAAGGTAAGTGGAAACTTTGCTGCTCCAACGTGGCCGAATAATCATATTTCTAATGTGTCCGGGACTCTTCCTTGGAGCGGTCCAATTTGTAGCTTTCCATTTTGTTAGTATTACTGAACCGATGGAAGCCAAACAAAAAGCTCGGAACAATTCCGACCGCACAAATAATGGGGTTGGAAAGGTAAAACTATTTCCATTGTCGAGAGCTCGGGAAGGGGCTACAAACAACGAAAGCAGGCAAAAACAAATCACTTTCGGTCGAAAGTAAAACAATCCAGATTGCCACATGTGGGGGCAGAGACCGGAAGCCAACCTTTTTTTTCCCCTGCAGAGGAACAATGACTTTTGGCTTCGGTGATTCTAGGAGGAAAAAGAACCATCACTCAATGAGGACCATCTAGAGAGAGAGCAGGGTAGAGCGAGCAATTCTTGACACCATTAGTTATGCTTGGAAGGTTACGGGAATTTATTGGACACAGTAATGGAACCTTACCACATTTCTCTGGACAACGAAGGACGAGGACAATCAAAGCTATTCCAAGGAATGGATGAGGGTCAGGTTCAATATGTGTGTGTGTGTGTGTGTGTGTTTGTATTTGAGAATCACACAAACTCCTCTACCCGTAGCTTTCAGTTCATGGTTGGTGTGGAATTTGGTCCTAGAAGACAGTTGGTCAGAGAGGGACGACCAGGTCGATGGAATGCAATCCTGAAAACTTCCGCTTTGGTTGCGGTCAGGATTGGAACGTCGTTGATGGGTTGCATGAAAAATTTCGGACAGCTTGATTGACCGACGACGGTGCGCTGCCTGAATATAGGTATTTACGTGGTCAGTACGCCTCGTGCTCTCTTGCCGTGCGGATCTATTTGCTTTTTGCTGAAGGAAGTGTACTGCTACCTAAAGCTACGACAAATTTAAACAGCACTTTTCAGTGCTCAATATAACTGTATTTTTTTTTATCTTGTTCGATTCCTATTCCTCTTCGATGCTTGTTTGGACCCTAGCCGAGGTAATCCTGCGTGGATATCGATGTGGAAAATTCTCCTTAGATCCTTCAGATTCTTATAGTAATCTGCTTGGAAGTCGATTTGGATAATCGTTTTACTGCCGCCATGGCGCCTAAGCGCAAAAGAAAAGGGCAATCTCTTGATCCCCTAATGTTGTATTTTAAACACTTCCAATTTTCATGCTCTTTGCAAGGAACTTTTGAACTTCGTGAAATCCAAGTTTTCACTTCAAATTGGCCGTCGGGGTGAATGCCGTGTATTGACTGAAACCTTTCATGAATTCAAACGTCTTCTCAAGTATCTTACTGAGGAGCAGCATCAATTTTTTACTTACGACATCAAAACTGGACGTGTGTTCATGGTTGTCATGAAAGGATTGCCCAATGGTGATACCCTGGATGATGAAGTCAGGTTTCAGTTAGCTTAGAAAACTTAGAAGAATTATGGGAGGATGTCAATGAGGTTGACATCTGGTGACGATGGTAAATACGCTAAGGAGAGGTCAGAGTTCATTCTGCACTAACGTTTGCTTTAAAAAAAAATTAACTTTTTTCGGATGGTGATAAAATAAAAGCTAAGACAGATAATTTCTTTTGATAAATTTCCCATGGTAGGAATTATTTAAGCTTACTTGCAAAAAAAAAATCTACGCCCTTGCGAGCGGCCTTCCGGCAGCTAACCGGAACATTCGCCATGGCGGACGAAAACATGCGTGTAGGCATGTTTTTGAGTTCTTTCTTCGTTTTATTTACCAATTCCTCCTCAGTTTTCGCGACAAAATTGTTGAAGTGGATCTTAAGCTTCTGGTTGGCCCAGAAATTCTCGATGGGGCGCAGCTGGGGGACGTTGGGCGGATTCACCGACTTGGGTACCACATCGATATTCAGTCGCTCCATCTCCTCCAACGATCGCTTCGAGTAGTGGGCCGACGCCAGATCTGGCCAGAACCCCGCGTCTTCGCCGTTATGGTATTTCTTGATGAACGACGCAACTTCCAACAGGCATTTCGTACTATAAATTTCCCCGTTCACGGCCAGTCCGGAGCGAAAGAAGAGCGACTTTGACATCCTTTTCTCGCTGATTGTCAGCCACAGCACCACCTTCTTGTTCACTCGGAGTTCACTTTGTTCGTGGGGGAAGTAAAATACGAAGTGCCCTGCCAGTCGTTGCTATCCAGGGTGAGATCGGTCTCGTCGTCCATCACCACCACCACGTCGCGATTCGCCGGGAAAAACGAGTTGACCATCTTATTCAACCGCTGCCGCTGCGTCATTGCCTGCAGCTCCGAAACCAGTGGACGTGACTTCCGCTTCCTGACATGCACTCAAAAAATTCCACACGTTTGATCAAACCCTTCGTTACTACACGTTAATTTCTAGTGTTTCAAGCTTTGAAATGTTGAAAGCACTATCTATTCAAGTGTATTGCACATTGAATCACACTACTGTATAAAACAGATGGTTTTGAAGTGTTTTGCATTTCAATGCGATGTGAATTGCTTGCTCAGAAAGGTAAACATTGAAAACAAGAGTTTTGACTTTATCCTATCAACCCGCCTCATATATGAGAAGAACCGTGGCACAGTGGGATCGAACGAAGACTCCGGCAACAGCACACCCCAACAGTCCATGATCGAATCCCAAATCAGACCCATTAAAAAGATATGTGAAAGCTCTGGCCTCCGGCAGTTTTGTTTATATATTTGTAGATTCGTTTTTAGAGTCGGCAAAGTAGAAGTCGATAAAGTAGAATATTGAAGAATATTGAACTATGATGTGCAAAGCTATTGATATCACCATATGAGGCACATAGAATCTAAGTGTGTCAGAATTCAAATCCATAGTGTTCAGGCATGATTCATAGCATAAGATTCACACATGAAATGGATGTGTTTTATAATAAGCGCAAAATTAGGTGTGAGACACATGATTATGACGTGTAGAATTTTTTAAGTGTGTATGTTCATGTTCGGCAGGTACTTTTTCACTGTTTGGCTGGTTGCACCGACCTCCCGGCCAAGCGCACGCAGCCACTTTTCCCTCGGGCTTCCTCTTCAACATCCTTTGAAGCTTCTTGTCGCTCAGGGTCGTCGGCCGTCCGGAACCGGGCTTTCTTTCGATGCTCTGATTGTTGTCTAATAGTGCCAAGATGTTGTAGATGCCGGAACGGGCGTATCCGGCATCCACAAAGTGCCGCACGATGTCCGTTTTCGACGCGGTGGGGTGCCTTTCTTTGAACGCGCACACTTCTGAACTGAGTTGCTTCCGAGGGGGGCGACACATCTAAATCTCAATTGTACATGCTCAAAAAATCTCACACTAACGAATCAATCTTCGAAAAATCATCTTTCATTTCTCGCATCTACTTGCATCGCGCTTCATCTTTTTGTAGGAAATCTTCAAAATCGACATAAGACTTCCTTCTATCTACTCAGCGTGCGTGCAGCTAGCCACAGCTAAACACAATCTTTTCTGCATCGTAGATAGAGTCGTCCTCCTCGGTTGCTTCACTGTTTTTGCCATCACGGTTAGAGTTCGACTGATAGAGCTGTCAAATTTTGTCTGCTGACTCATGGGTTACTATGATTGATGCTGCATAGGTAGTTTCGTCAGTGCGGGTGAAGGTAAACCCATGAAAAATCGACAATTTTTGTCCACTTTTTTAAATGCAAACGTTATTTTGACGTAAAATCTTCGTTGTTGGAGAAATCAAGGTTGCAAATGTCACCTAAAACAATGTTTTTTTTTTATTATGAAATAACTAGATGCCATGATCATATTTTGAATGGGTAGGATACAAGAAGAGGTTGCAAAGAATGTGTTTGACATATTAAACCTATTTATTTTACTTCATGAGACTCACAATCAGCGATTTTTCACACACTCACTCACTCACTCACTCACTCACTCACTCACTCACTCAGTGATCAGAAAATCGCTGATTGTGACTCATAGAAAGCAAAATTTACAGGTTTTATGTTTCAAACGCATATTTTGTAACCTCTTCTTGTAAGTTACAAGTAAAACATGCCATCATACCATCTTTTGGTTTATTATTCCGAAAAACATTATGTTAGCTGAAATGAGTATTTGCAACCTTGGGAGAAATCAAAGGAATTGGAAAAGGTCCCTACCTTTAATCAATCTCACGCTTTGGACGTAACGCAGTCTACGTTAGAACACGTTCGGTTCCCGCAAATTAAGTTGCAAACTTCTGATGGCAACATTGATTAGTGGTTAAGCTTCCAGGATTTGTATAACACGTTGATTCACTGGAAACCTGATCTACCCGATGCCGAGAAGTATCACTACCTAAAATGTTGCCTCAGTGGTGTAGCCAAGGCCTTGATAGATCCGCTGTCCATTACACAGGCGAAATAACAAGTGGCTTTAGATACACTAAAGAAACGTTACAACAACAACAAGTGACTCAAGCGCCGCCAGGTCCAAGCGTTATTCAAGCTACCTACGTTGGTTAAGGAGTCAGCATCCGAGCTTCAGTCCTTGTTGGATGGATTCGAATGTTTTCTTCAGAACCTGGATCAGCTTGTTCAACCGAAAAAAAAAAAAAAAAAAAAAAAAAAAAAAAAAAAAAAAAAAAAACTTTTTTTCACTCACAATTTTTCACTTTTTATTTTATTATCTTCGTTAATTTTAAACGGAATTCTGATGCTTAGATGTTCTGATTTCTGATTGCTTAGAAGGGACTTAGATAAGTTAGAATGGACTTTAGTTTTTCATTCTTATTGTTTAATTAACCATATCACATGGTGAACGGTACTATTATTTTTTTTTTAATTTGTCGAATCGGTAAACAAGCCGTTTAAACAACCCACAAGCTGATTGATTACAGTTTGTGAGTCGAAGAGTCAACTGGATATTTTGACATTAGACTAGCGTAATATCAGAGATAAAGAATATTCTATGCAACATCCAAATAAAAGTTATGTGTTGCGTTAGCGTTAGCGTTAGCGTTGTTATGATATACTTCGTAGA